TCCTCTTCATTACTTCACATCACAGAGCAAATCCCTTAGTGAACTCTAATTTTTGGACTTTTAAATTTATTACATTTAGCAATAGCTTGTGCTTAGGGAAAAACATGACCAGCTTCAAGCAAAAGCTAAGTAAAAAGACATCTAGAGAAAATATAACAAAATGTCAATAACATGTTCCCTGAAGAAGTGTGTTTGGGCTGCGGTGACCAGGGGCGAAACTACCGGGGGGTGTGGGGGGGGGTGTGACACCCCCCCATTAAAAAAATAGTCGATTTCGCAGGGCAATCGAAGATTTCGCAGGGCACCAAGAAGAGGTTTGTTGCCACGCAGAAATGTAACCTCTGAAGTTCATAAAGAGCTGTTTAGGAATTTTGAAATGGAAATATCATATTTGTTATGAATCTACCTTCCTGACATTGCATAATAGAGAACGGAACAGGTATGTATGGAAAAGCTCCGTTATTTGCAAAGCGAAAGCATTTCTTACCGAAAGTCATAGCCAATGGATGCAATGATTGATGCATATGTTTATGAGGGCAAGGTTGAGTCCATACAAGTTAATTTAAGTTGTAAATTATTTTCATAACAGGCACGGCGTCACTGGGGGGAATAGGGGGCTGAGGGCCCCCACTTCGGTCAAGATAAGAATTTTCTATAATTTTTTCTATTACTTTTTAACAGTGCATGAAATAAAAAGAGAATAAACTGTTAAGATGCCGATTTTATTTGATCTAATTACTAACTTTTTCACGTATATTTTTATTATTTTTCTTTTATTTGCATTAATTCAGTAAATCACTTTCTGTATCATTGCAATGTTTAAATTTTGAAGCATGGCCTTTGTAAAATAAAGTATTTTTTTTTAAAACCAAGATTCTTCAATAGTGAAAGTATAAATTAGCAGCAACCAACGATTACAATATGACGACTTCATTCAACGAAAACTTCGACTAGACTGGACTTGCACTCAAAGAACATACGCTTTTAACAACATGAGTGACGCACACAAAACCCTAATGACACAAATTAACGGCAAATGAACTAATAACAACTAAAAAGAGATGGCACGATGACAAACAAAATTACTGACGCAAACATCGAAAGACATTCTCATTAACAATAACGAACCACAAACACGATGCACGACAGACAAAACTAGTTGTATAACACCTTCTCGAGACAAGAAACTGCACATTTCTGTTCAGGAAATAAAATTATCCCAATCAAAACAACATCTGCCTCTGTCATTTACAACTATGTGCAATCTTAAACGAAAGGTTACCGTTTCTTTCCTTCCCCAACGTCTATCACTAGAGTTTTAGCATGACATGCCCCTCCCTATTTTCCCCAATAAACAATAATCAGTTTTTTTAGCACAATAGTCTGAAAGATGCTTTTTAGCTCTTATAACAAGGTATAATTTCAAAAATTTTCTTCACGTCGGACCCAACCGTGGTGGGTCCTCCTATATCACTAAACTTGATTCTTAGTCCCCCCCCCCGGGCTAAATTTCGTCGCACCGTCTGCATCATGTACCCACACACACCATATGTCATGAAATATAAGCTTTAGTACCAATGAAAATCAGATTTGATATTTAATTTACGCTCACGTAGAGAAATAGATATTTCATAGGCAATGAAGTTTCAAGTTTGTTTATATTGCTTAGAAGTTTGTCCTTGGTAAAGACCAGTGTACACTGGTGAAGCTTTAACTAGTAGCCTATAGACAAACCTTTGCTACGAGATCTGCAGGGCACCACTCAGTTTTGCAGGGCAGAAACCCTTTTCACCCCCCCCCCCAAACTATTGGCCAAGTTACGCCCCTGGCGGTGACAAAAATGAATTCATAATTTTGATGGTTTTGGAGTACTCGCGTGTATATTTAATCTTTCCCACAATTCTCTGAAAATTCAAGGCAAACAGATTAACGCGTGGGTATACTTTTTTGCCTCGCATTCACTTTTTAAGCTAATTTATTTTTTTGCACTTTTATCAACCGGCCCTTAAACCGACCGGCCCTTCGGGCGATCGCCCGAATAGCCCGACCAGCCAGTCCGCCCCTGTTTGCAACTGATAAAACACAACTTTAAACATTCAAAAAGTTTCGGAACACTTAGATAGAAAGTTATAGCGCTCTATTATATTAAGTTTTGCAAAACAAAGTTGGCCAAGCATTTTTATTAGTATTTACATTGGGGTCAAAATAGTATGGAAATGGTGATTAAAATGGAAGCTCACAGAAGCTAAAAGAATAAGCTGATGACTTTTTAAAACAGAAGTTCAGCGCTAAAGGGTGTTTGTAACAAACCCTTTCGCCACGAAATTTCTTGCGTAATTCAAATGTCTTTTGAATGAAAATAAATTTGATTGATTACCTCACTGTTTTGTGGGTAAAATGTCAAGCTTTTGTTTATTAAAAGTGATATCAGTACCAGGTAAAAAATTTCTAAAGCTGTCATTTTGTGATTTCTAAAGCTGTCAGAACAGTTGGCTTGCTAAATAGCATAACAATTTTGGGTGTAGATGCTACCTTTTATAGATTGCAAAGGTATACTGAACACAGAAAGTCTTGGTTTTAATTTTTCAATTGCTATGTGCTCAGTGGTGTGCTGGCAGGGGGCAAGACGACTGCCCTCCCCCTGCTGATCAATTATCAGGGGCGCTAAAATGAATTTTCATGTTATAGGGGTGCCGCCCTAGCCAAATAGCTACCGAACGAAGGCAATTTACATAAAAGAATACAACAATACGAAAGGCGGATACTTGAAACATACCACTTCTATTTTCTTACTAACTTTTATTTACTGGACAATGATCGTCAAACACAACCTCAAGATTTCACGCTAAATCTAAATGATTTTGCACAAAGTAGATACCATGGGCGTACCGAGGTAGGGTGGGGGGGTGGGGGGTTGTGTTTTTGTGGAACCTGTCAAAACAATTTTGGTTTGGCGGTAAAAGTTCAGATTAGGCGCCATTTCATTAAAATACTGAGAGGATGTAAGGATTTTTGATTCACTTGTATAAAACGAAATGGTAGGAAGAAAAAGCTGAGAGATTGTGTCCCAACTTGAAGAAATTTGTGTTATATAAGTTTATCTGATGAGTGCGCAAGCACGAAACTCGAAGTAACAGAGAACAAGTCTCATTTCTGTTATGTTATAAATATTTAACAATGACACCGGAAAATCGAGTAAAACCATCAAAAAGCTTTCACCCTGTGGATATTTTTTGAGGAGAAAGCTTGCGTTATTGAAAAAGTGCTTCAAAAAGTGCATTTTGCAGCAAACTGGAAGCATTAAAATTCAAATTTTCCCCTTCGGCGGCAACCATGGTGCTGCCTCGGACAGTGTAGTTATATCTTGGGCTTGTTGCGATATATGGATCTAAAGGGTTGGAAGGTCTGATGATAATATGTAAATAGATGTTGTGAATCGACACAATGTAATGCGGAGGATGGTTTTCAATCCGGCAAATTTTTATGTAGTAAACCCAAACAAGGCCTGCCTCGCAACGGCCTTGGGGCCATATTTTGAAAAAAGCTTATAAGTATTGTTCAGAATTTTCCATTAGTCTATAGCGATGTAGTAAATTTTCGAATTTTGATGCTTCCAGTTCCCTGGAAAATGCACTCTTTCAAATAAATTGTACTAAATCAATCCTTCTAATCCTATTGAAAATTCTTTTATTTTTGCAAACAAATTAAACAGCAGATAAAAACAAATAGTACAATTTCCCCGTGGTCTTGAAAAATTCTTTATTGTCAGTTACTTCTAAAGCTAGGTAACAATTAGCACTGGTTGTCAATTTAGATCGCTCTTTCTATCTTAGCATTCCTTTTGAATGTTAAAAAAGATCTGGAGCTAATGTTGAATTGCAGTTGACGCTTCTACCAAGAAACTTTAGGGGAAATGGGCACAACACACTATTTTTACCTAAAGAGGGCCTGGAATTTTGGATTTATTTCAAACAAGAAATCTTCAAATCATTAACGCTTAGTTTGTTTATCTTTCTTCATATCAAGGAATTTCATATTCAACCAAAGGAGCAACTACTTTTGCTTGATTCTTTATTGATTGTAAGACATGAAGGTCTCTGAACTATACCTTAAGCGTTTCTTCCACTGAGCGGATTTGCGACCCCAATGTATTTTCTGTCTAAGCAAAGAATAGAAATGCTCAATTTTTTACCAAGAAAATGTACTTGAATAAATAGAAGAATACATATTCTCTTCGTGTGCGACTTGGTCGTGAATGATTTGAATTAGGCATATTCCCATAATAATTGGACTTTAAGGATTCTCTTTTGCTTTTGAATTATAACTACCAAATCGTAGAAATCTTGTGAATTTACTTAAGCAAAATATGAACGAAAGCTCTACATACGGGCAAAGAGTTTTTACTGTTCATGACTTATGCGGAAGTATACAAGGCAAAAGCTGCTCTTCTTCCAGTCTACAAAACGTATAATTATCTTGCATACAAATTTTTGTCGAAATATTTGTTCTTCGTATTTACTCGAAAGGATTAAAAAATCTTTATGAATTCATTGCTTAAAATGTGCTCGAAATTTTGTTGTCAACACCTGTTTTGTGCTAAAAAGTATTTTCTAAATTTGCATAACCTGTATTTGAAACAAGCCTGCTTGAATTGAAACTATTTCAGTCTTTGTTGAAAACAGCCCTGTTTTTTATTCTTTCTTCATATTCGCTATTGTCGTGATCTTTTTTCAGTTTTACCTGCTATCGAAGCTTTTTGCTAAGGAGAAACATGATTTACAAAAGGCCTTACGTTAAACACCTGGGTATGTGATAATCTAGCCCCCAAGGGTACTGAGGAGTTTCCCTCAAAGAATTCCAAACTCGCATAGACACGTTTCCATTTCTTTGCTAAGTGGAGCCGACCAATTACTGTTACTATGGCGATGAATCTACCTCGTTGTCAAAAAAGGCCTGGTACCAACATTTATGGGCGGGTAGTTACTTGATCATTGTTCTAAGCACGTTCGAATCTGACTTTCCTTTCAGGTTGAAAACATTTGGGAGAAAGTCGATCAGAGAAGGCTGCGTGTTAATTTAGACTAAAACAACCTCACAATTCAAGATGTCTGAAGATCAAAATGTTATCAAGCTGAGGAACGCCTGCTTGAAACGTGGTGCCACGGGCATTAAAGGAATAAGGAGGTTTGTAACTTGCCTGTATTTTTTTGTGTGACGGGTTGACTTCCATCAGTTCATACTGCTAAGGAATCTGATTACGAATAGGGAGTTGCTTGTGACATGTGACATCTGTGCATAGCAAGCAACTTCTTCTTTTATTAAAGGTGAGTTATGATATTTGAAGTGCAATAAAACAACTCGTTGAAACTTTCTTTACACTACTAGGTTTCGTAACCATGCGATCAAAACAGTTGACAGTTTTTGGTGAGTTGTGTGACAGCGTGCAGTCGTAGTTGGTTGTTAATTGCTGCAAAGTCACTTTACTTATTAACTGAAATGTTACGTAGGCCCATAAATATAGCTAGCTTAGTTGATTCATCTTATTTAGTTTTTTAATGCTTGGCAAATTATAAAAACGCTCATTGGGCAACTTTTATTTAGAACATATATTATCAATTAATCTTCAGTGTCTGCTTATAAAATTTTTAAATGTTTATGTATCAACCTAATGAATAAGGTTGATAAGACTGTTATTGTGATAACCCTTGGTCTTGTTGACAATAATTAACCAGTCGCATTCCCTTAGCTTATTACTAGTGAAGTCTAAGTTTAATTATTAAACTGCTTTATAAATTTATTGTTTTGCAAATGTGCTATATCAAGTTAATTATTGATAGGAAATTAAATGGATAATTACACATATTTTTCAAATTGATGATTGAAAAATACCCATGTTGTATCATCGTGGTATCAAGACACCTAGCTTTATAAACAGGCCAAGTTTCTGGAAAATCTCAGTTAACTTTTAAAAAGATATATAGCACATATTTCTCACTGTTTGTGGTTATGCTAGTATAGAGATTTTTATTGATCCATGCAAATCAAATCAAAAGAATAAAATTGAGAATTATCACTTATTAAAAGCATAGCTTTTCGTTCTGTTTATATTTAGCTGTAAACAACATTGTTCATTGTTTTGAAACAGAAAATAAGAAGTGCAGTCAAGCAGATATGAAAAACAAAGAAACAATGATATTGTTTTCCTTTATGCTTAAAGAAAATGATAACCAGAGGCTTTTCCTTTCATATCAAAAAGCAGACAAAGCTCTTTCAAATTTATTTTCTTTGCCAAGTGGCATTAAAAGTAAATTAGATTTGGGCAGACCACAATTTTCATAAACAGACTGGGATAAAAAAGTTTAACTCACAGTCATATTGAAATTTAGCCTGATTGACCAGGTTATTTTTATGAGCTTTTGTTTATCAACTAGATGTTTTAATTTGTCAATATTTTCTTGTTCAATAGACAGTTCAAGATTATGGATGACGATAGAAGCAAGTCTCTATCATTTGAAGAATTCAGAAAGGGTATTCATGATTTTGGTCTTGTGGTTGCTGATGATGTAAGTAAATGGGACCATTCTTTGTTTAATATGAAAAACAAATATAGAAGGGTCATAATAAAATAGAATATATACTAGAAATGAGACATGTTCTCCGTTGAAGGGTCATATATATATTAAAATATATAGAAGGGTCATATATATATTAAAATTGTTACCTATTCTGTCTTTTAAAACTTGACCTCAGCTGCTCCTCTGCATTTTCATGCAGCTGCAGAGCAGCCTTCTAATCTTTTCTAATGCTATAAATTCCATTGCTTCTGGTGATTATACTATTTATTTCATGCTTTTGGTGTATAGAGGATGGTTCTGAATTGCTAATCTAGGTTTTACACTTAATACTATCTTCAGGCAGCTGTATGCAGGTAAAAAAGCCTGTGGTGACTGCAATTTGGGGTGTGGAGGGGGGGGGGGGGGGGATGGATGCATTTCCCACTTAATTTGAACCCACTGCCTATAGCCCAGAGATCTCATCCAATCTGCGAAATGATACAACCATGAACACTTAACTCCCAGTGTTTATTATTAAGAACAGATGTAATCAGAAGAATGATGTATCTTTTAGTCAAAATAATATCCATTATAAAAAGAATTTAACCCTTAGTAGCCAGGGAATTTCCTTCAAAAACAAATCCTCAACCTTGTGTGTGAGGCAACCTGCAATCTTATATACGCCTTCTGTGCTTTAATATCTCGTCTGTACTTTCCGCTTTGACACGAGTAACCGGTCTTAAGTAATTACAATCCTGCACTTCTCGCCTCAAACGAGCCATTCGTGCTGCGAAACACCCTAGCACTGTCGCCCGACATGTGGTAAAACGACGGTCGTGATAGCCGCTACCGAAGGGCGCGTCAATTCTCGGACGGGGGACCTGACATACAAGCAAACAATACCTTTATGAGTCTATCCTCTCGCATTATAGCTGACCGAAGATCCCGGGCACGCATCTACCCGTGCGCTGCATACATATCCGTGAAATGGCCAAATGATAATTCTCATAGTGTAGCTCATTCTCCGCATCCTGTAGACTTGCGCCCTAGCTAATTTCTAATTTACTCCACGGCCTCTAGCAGCGTTCCGTAGTCAGTTCCGGTCATGTCCGACCTATGCCTCACCTAGACTACCCCTGAGGCCCGTAGCTACTCCGCATGTACCACTCTGGTTGAAACACTTACGTTATAGTCGCCGATTAACACCATATGCCAGCTCCAATCTGGTGGTGTTCCATTAATGACCTTTCCAAACAAACCGACTGAAAGAGTAGTAAGGATAGACACCAACACACCAATATTGATTATGGATATCAAACATGCTAAGACACGATACCAGTCCTCAATCGCACTATATCCGGCATCCTCATCGCTAGCGTCGAGAATATTCATGAAAGCTGTAATACATAGATAGATGTTCAAGGGGGAAAGTATTTGTGTTTTTCAGATCATCCAATAATAGTATTTATATATATATAATATATATATATCTATATATATATATTAGTAAACTATATTATTAATTATTTATAGAAATTGTCCTTTTGATACTTCCGTACAGTTCATACGGTTAGACGATAGAGCGGTGTATATCATAGATTGAAGAGAGTAAACTACATGTTAATTATCTCTATGAATGACCATGATAGTTTACTATTTCAATCTATAGACTTAATATATATAATATATATACAATGAAATTTGTCTTCTTGATATTCTCGTAGCACAGTTCCATACGTTAGTCACGTGATGTTGAAGATATACATAAAGGAAGGAAAATAAGACTTACGATGTTTGTCTTATATATTAATCTATATATATATATATATAATATATATATATATAATATATATATATAGTATGATATATATATATATATGATAAGAAAATAATGTTTACCCCTGCACTTGCCTATTTAAGTGGCACGATGCTGTTATAGGCAGAGCTGTACATCTTTTTGGTTCATAGAACAGGAAAGCTCTAAGGTTGATACCC